TAAGAAACACTTACCAAAGATGTTTTAGAATAAAAAATGGAAGGCTGGAAGGAGTTCACGGCTAGAAGAATGGTTCACGACCCAAATCTAGGTGTTGACGGCCCAATGATCTTGGAGATTGATGAAGATTCAAGTGTTTTCGGCTGGAGATTAGTGTGTTCTTGGTGGAATGATGAAGATGCAAGTGTTCACGACTTAAAGTTCTTGAATGAATGCAAAACACTTGAAGATCCTAGCAATATCCTAAGAAGATTCAAAAGAGAGTGGATGATACTTGAGAGTGAATGTTGTTTTGTGGTTGAAGATCTTAAGAGAGAGAGAGGGGGGGGGGGGGTCATGGATGGAGATGAAGAAGTGAGGTAAAATTCAAGGTTCGGTCCTTAAATAGGGTCCCAATTTGATGGGACACATTGGTTGAGAACCACATCGAAGGGACAAGACCGGAGGTTCACGGTAGTGAACCTCGTATGCGGTCCGAATGTTGTTCACGGTCCGAGGGTTTGCAACCCATGTTTCCGGTCATGAACCTCGCATGAATGGAGGGATTCACAGTCCAAAGTTTTTGGCCACATTGGGGTTCTCGGTTCAACTTGTTTCACTTCTTAAACAAACTACACTTATAACACAAGGTTTTTATACCTATAAATTTATTACCCTAACCATATTAAGATGACAATGAAAATAAATTTGACTTTTGATTGATATGATTGGCTTTAGATGACCAAGATTGACTTTCACAAGAAAGAAAATATGGGGTGTCAAAGAGCATGACTTCGAGGGCGAAGTCTGATTCTAGTGAGAGAGAATTGTAACATCAAGACTCCCAAGTATATTATCCTTTTATTTATTTATTTTTGAGATCTATTGAGCAACTCGACAAGTTGGTGCCTCAACCCGTCGAGTAGAGACTAATTGACCACATGGGTCTAAAAACCGACTCGACGAGTCAGAGAACTGACTCGCCGAATAGGCGTTGCGAGATGAAACCCTGAATCCCCATGTTTAGGGCCTATTTAAGGAAACTTATGTCCTCATTTCCGCCTCACCAGCTGCCCAACTCACCTGTGTGAAACCCTAATCGGACATTGATCTAAGAGAGAGTGTGTGAGCTAATATTGAGTGTTTTGGTGGGTCTTTTGGAAGGAAATGAGTGAGATACAAGCAAGGAACAAGGAGAGAAAATAGGATCTAGCATTCTTTCACTTGGAGCTTTTGTGGAAGGTAAAAAGCTTACACCTCTTATTAGTTGGATCTCTTGAGTATGGAAGTTAGGGATTTTACCACCTTTTGTTGGGACAATAAGTGCATGGAGTCTATTAGGAGGTATAGACTTCAGATATGGACCTTGTGAAGTCCAGAGAGTCCAAAGGTTCCATCTTTATTCAGCTATATAAGAGTTATTATGCTTAAACACCATTGTTAGAGTTGTATTGGCATTTTGGAGCAAAATGTGCCATGCATGAACGTAAATATTGAAGCTTTACGTGACATTCGAGCCTTGGGAGCCCAGATCTAGAGTGTGGAGGGGTAGATCTACCTTAAAACGTCTGAATGAGAATTCAGACTGAAGGTACTCGCCGAGTCAACGAGCTGACTCGACGAGTCGGCTAGGATTTTCCCCAATGAGTGTGGACATGGATAACTTGGCGAGTTGACAAGACAACTCAACAAGTTAAATTGGATGTTTGCGATATTTCATAAGAAACAAGGGGACTTGACGAGTCACATAGATGCACTCAACAAGTTAAATCAACATGGACTATTGACTTGAGTGTTGACTTTAGGGTTTGGTCAAGACACGGATTATGGGGACAATGGAGGGGTAAAATGGTCTTTTACACATTCCAAGAGTTAGAGAGAGAGAGAGAGAGAGAGAGAATAACCTTTGGTTGATTTAGAATCTTGAATAGAGTGTTAATTAGAGATAATTATCTTATGTGTTAGGCGGAGGCTAGTTCGAGATTCGTGTACGAGGTTATCACGTGCTTGCTTACAAGGTGAGTCTTCTCACTATACTTTACCTAGAGTTGTAATCTTTGTGTGACTGGATGGTCTTATGTGCTTATATTGTGTATTGTGATATCCCGCATTATGTCTTTGTGATTTGTATTGTGTATTATTCTGAACCTACTGAGTTAGGACCAGAGGGTCCACCCGAGTTGTGGGATCAGAGGGTCCCATTGAGACACATTGACCGGAGGGTCTTATTGAGCATAGCCTCGAGTGGCTATTGAGTTGTGTATGGTATTTTAGGGAACTCACTAAGCTTCGTGCTTACCGTGTTATGTGTTATGTGTTTCAGGTACCTCTCAGGATCATGGGAAGGCACCGGCTTGACAGTACACACTGGAGAGGAATTATTTTTATGATTCTGGGATAGTGATTTTTAATTGTGGATTGTTGACATTTGAGAGACTTGTGGTTTTGAGGAAATGTAAAAATGAGTTTTATTGTGTTTTAACATGAAATTTTTATTTGAAAATTTACGGTGTTAGATGATCACCGGAATTAAGCGGTCAACTGAGGGTCGTCTGGTGTAGTCGGAGGTGAGAAACGTGGAGGAACTGCGAGTGGGCAACGGAGGTGAGCAACATCGATTGAGAGCCTTTTGGTGTGGCCGAAGACGAGTCGTTTGGAGGATTCACGATGTAGGTCCAATCTAAAAAGGGTAGGTCATCGATTTCTTTTGAGAATAATTTACAAATTCACCTCATTAGATAAATATGTTTGAAAGTGTACCCTTTTGGTAAAAAAATTTTAGAAACAGACTTTTGGTCAAAAACTCCTCTTCTTGATACGTCCACAAGTCCCACTACACCTTGAAATATTCATAAGCCCGACCATGATTTGAACATCCACCTCCTTATTGTTGCGTTCTTTTAAGTCGAATTGAATCAGTAACTCATTAACCAAAATCTGTAATACATGATTACCATCACACGGAAATAAAAATATGGTTCATAAAATTTTTGCAACCGTTTAATTGCATCAAAACTTTTGTTGAATCCACTTTAGACCTGCATACCATCAGTTTCTTCTGCGAAAGCTAAAATCTCACTATAGTCGCAAATGATTTACATATCGTCTTATGATTATTAGAAGCAAATCAGCAATCATTCCTAAACCGTACTATTTTGACATCTCTAAATTCTTGAATATCCTCATTCCATCTTTTATAATTTGCATCAAATTTGGATTTACAAATTTTAACAACAAGCTTCATACTTGATAAGTAATTCGTTTAATCTTTCACATTACAAACAATATCCCTTTTCTAGTTTTCTAAATCCACCTTAATACTTGAATTTTTTTTATTTTTTACTTTTACCTCTTCTCCATGATACTATTATATTCTCCAACTCATGACTCTCAATTTCCTTTGGGAAAATGACAACTACGCCCTATGAAGTTTCTAGGGTTTACTCTTTTGTTCATTTAACTTTTTAAGTGGCTTTTTAAGGGAACAAATTTAGTTTTGATGGTTCCAATAGGTCCTTTTCGAGAAAACGAAGAGGTAACCTAGTTACCCCCTTATGCCACTTCATTTATTTTTATATTTTAATAAATTAAAAAAACTAAAAGGTCCCACGACATCTCTCTCTCTCTCTCTCTCTCTCTCTCTCCACCATTGCCATCACCTTCTACCTCACTGGAAACCACCATCGTTTGCCACAGAACCACCGCAACCCCACTCCAAACAACCCTGATTTGTGCACCTTCTTTCCTATTCGATCAAAGCTGGATTGGGAAGGCGGAAGCAACGGAGCTGTTGTGCTACCACCATTCGTCGCCGTTGTTGTGGTGGGTGGTACCCATCATCACCGGTGATACTCAACACTTATCACTTCTGTTGTTCTTGGCTCTAACAGGTGACGACCAGAAGAGAGTACTGCCAATGAGGAACCACATATATCTGTTTAGGACTGAACCCATCATCGGGACTATACGATTGGAACTGTTCATGTCACCGGCGGTGCTGACTGTTCTTGGAGATTTTTGAATGAGTTCTGAATAGAAAAGAAAAGGGGTTACCTAAGATTGATGGAGGGGTTACCTAAGATTGATGGAGGAGTAAGGAAAAGTGATTGGAAGCTGCTTGAAGGTCGGAAAGAGATGAAGATAGGAGGAAAATGGTGATTCTCGCCGGTTTTTCTTCTCCGGTGAACAGTGTTGATGGTCCTGTTTGCAGTCAGAGGCTTGCTTCAACTGGCCATGGCGGTGGTTTGGTGGTGATTAGATTAGTCTGCCATCAAAATAGAAGGAAGATGATAGGATGGGTTGAAGAAGGCAACAACTTTGGTTGTTGTGGGTTTTTTCTGGTGTGTGTGTGACAGAGAGAGAGGTGGGCCCCAAGTTTTGTCTATGTGTCCTCTAAACCGGCTAAAACAAGTAAAGGGGATTAAAAAAATAGGTTGCCGACTACGAAAAAACTTAAATGACTAAAAGGATCAATCCTAAAAATTTCATAGGGCGTTTTCTCATTTCCTTTTAATAAACTTGTGACCGACAACAAGAGTCGTCATCAAATTCTCTGCTGCCCTACATGCAGTGGATAGCTTTATAACTTTATTTTGCTGATTCTGTTTATGTCTTCAGCTTCACGTCTCTTCTTTTCCAAAATCATGCTCTAGCCTCTATCGAATTAATACCGACCACTTAATATAGTTAGTGGCTTGACGGTTGAACAGAAAAACACGTTGGAGTATTAGAATAACACATTGGCTTCGGTTACTTTGTACGTTTGGTCTTTTCGCCCTACATTTAAGATCCTACTTTTATGAATTAACGGAGTTGTATGTGTACCTTTTCTTTTTATTTTTTTAATTGTGGATAGTCAAATCATTGTATGTATTTTCTTATTCCGGAAAGTTGTCATTTCTAATTAAAGGAGCATCCGCGAAACACACACGGCGTCATACTCAATCATGGAGTTATGAAGCACCGACAGAAACTATTCGTCTATAACTACCCACAAACTTAACCCAACTTAATTAGATTGCATGGCTAATCGTCGTCGTCGTCACAGCTCCTCCGCTTTTCAGCTACCGGTGCCCCAAGATGACGACAACCCACCACCTACCCCTGGCGGCAGTTCCTCCAGCCGCGACCCTGATTACTATGGAATCCGATGCAGAGCTGGGAAATGGGTTTCTGAAATCCGTGAACCAAACAAATCAAGTCGTATATGGCTAGGCACATATCCGACACCGGAGATGGCGGCCGCGGCTTATGATGTGGCGGCACTGGCACTCAAAGGTGAGTATGCAATCTTAAACTTTCCCGACTCTACTCTGTCGACTACTACGCTTCCTGAGTTCCCCACAGCTGATGACATCCGTGCGGCAGCAGCAAGGGCGGCTGCAGCTCGAGCACCTACTAAAGAAAGTAGTGGTGGCAGCTCGACTGAGATCGGAGCAACCCTTTCTTAATTAGTTCTTACTTCTAATTAAGAACCAGATATCAATACAAGACGTAAACATAATGTCTTTTCCGTTCACGTTTCTGCCTATTAATTTTCACTGTCGCATTTTGTCTATCATTATGTGAAGAAAGTGAAAAATATTTATGTATGTTGTTGATTTTAACTGGTTTTTGTACAAGTACCTTTAAACTTTCCTGTTGCTCTAATTATTTCTAAATAAGGAAGCAACCAATCTTAATTGTAAGATATTTCAACCAAATAAATAGAAATATAATTATTATCATAACAAATATGTTATCATGTAAGATTTATATAATAGTAAAATTAAATAAATCGTTATATATAGTGATGGTTCTAGTGCTAGCTGTTTGCATTAATTACGTTTTTGCCCTCTTTATGTTTTGGTGCTGCTCAAATTCGATGACTTCATTACTTTTTCAAGTGTATGGTATTGCTCTGTGGTCACATTGTTTTGATCTTAGTTGTCCTTTTGTGGTGGCCTTCATTTTGTTTGGTGTTCCTTCTCTTTTTAGCCTTTCATAGTTCGAGCTTCGAAGGCTTTTTGTTATGTACTTTGGATTTTGTACGCTACCTTTTCTATATAAAAAGATAATTAGGAGACATAAATACGGTTTCAGTTTGACCTTTTTAATACATTTTTACGTTACTGTTTTGAAAAAACGTGATAAATGCAAAATAAATGTAGTTATAGTACTGTGCAAAAAGGTTGATTTGGGCCGTGTAGCATTAAAGATCTACCATACGTGTATCCATGATATTATTGCATATTAATATTTTATATTATTAAAGGATATTTACAAAAATGACCTCTAGTCTAGAAATAAACTCATAATCCCAAATCTTTACAAATTAACCACAAATTCGTAACACTCAATTTCGGACTTTTAGTTTATATCAAACTAGTTGCGAGAATTTTAGTTTATATCAAACTAGTTGTGAGACCTATGTATTATATGAATTAATTTTAAAAAATTTATATAAATGGCAAAATATTTGAGAACTTTAAATTTATAATAAAATCAGAAAAATAAATAATTATAATAGCATTTTTTATCTTTTAAATTTAAACACATAATTTAAATAAAAAAATGAGCTTTAATGTTAGTAATTTTAAAACATTTGAGAACTTTAAATTTATAATAAAATAAGTAAAATAAATTATTATAATAGAATTTTTTTTATCGTTTAAATTTAAACACATAAATTAATTAAAAAAAATAATAAGTTTTAATTTTAGAAAATTTGAAATTAAAAGGTAAGTTCATTAATGGAATTGATATCCATTATTATTATATTTATTGCAATTATTACATTAAAATATTATATGGATTTTAATAAGAGAAATAAAATATCCTTCTATTTTTTATGCTTAATATCTTCCTACCTATTTTAGATGATGACAAGTTTCATTTAATATAATTTAAATTTGAATGTGATTTTAAATTTGTACATTTGTCATCATTTTAAATAGGTAAGAAGAAAATTATGAACAAAACGTAGGGGGATATTGAATTTCTCTTTTAACAAAATAAAAAAATCATAAAATGACATGCGGAAAAAAAAATTAATTCAAAATAACTAAAAAATGACATTTGAGAAATTGAATAAGAGTGTGACAAGTGACAAAAAAAACCATTCGTTTATTAGAGAGGATTATGAACGTATTTGACATAGAATGTTTATGTAACTTCTAACTTCTAATGTTCGATAAAACGTTCCGTCATGAAGAAAAAAAAGGTTCGTTTGACACTATAAGTTTTTTACGTTTAGTTTATATAAAACGCCCCAAATATAAAAGTTATCTCACGTAGTTTTTAACAAAATGTTATCAACTACCCAAGGTTGGTTCTGAGGATTTAAATATCTATAAATGCTTTGGACGAGCCGAAAAAATGTCCTTATCGCTATTATAAGTTTTTTATTTTTAAATAAATATATACATATATAATATACTAAAAAAATGGGTCTAAAATTTGGGTTATGTGCAGCTGTCCACTTTGTCCCTTCCTCAATGCCCCCATGAGCTACCTGCTATCAGTTTCCTCCTACGTGTTATGAACCAGTTTTATGCAACATACCTTATGCTTACAATTAATCATAGTCAAACTAACTATTAAAATATAATATTCACATGTGTCAATATATATCAGGGGAATCAAATAGGTTGTAATAAATAGTTCATGTTGTCGTTTAGATTTTCTAACGTAGTGTATATTTTTATAAAAACAATTATGGCATAGTTCAACACAAGACTGTCAAGATGTGGATTTTACCTAAGATCGTTTTGTGTGTTGCAAAATCGTGATCGTAAGATCGGATCAAGATTGAAAGATCCTATAAAATGAACTCATATTCAAATTTACCGATACGGTATTGGGTGTGCAATATACATTATTACTTAATGTCAGTTAAGACCTAGACATGAAGCCAACTTTAATTTTCTAAACATGAACAAAAAATTTTGCTGCTACAAACTGTAACTATTAGGAAGAAAACATCTTAATTACAAAAAGAAACAAGATCATTATGATTTACAACTAAAGGCTTAAGATAAAAAAAAATGGAATTATCATGAGTGTAATGTAATATCCCAAAATCCAAGACCAAAATTTTCATTTTTAATTTAATAATTCATAAAACAGAATACTGAAAACATCATTGATTTATCCCATATCATAAAAGCCATAAGTCATATATCTCAAAACAAGTCATAATAACATCAAAGTACGAATCCCAAGAACAACATAGTGCGGAAAAAATGGTGCGATGCACTGCAATCATGCCGATTCATTTCCCTTTGAATAAGAAGTACCTGGAACCAAAATTGAAAATCGTAAGCACAAAGCTTAGTGAGTTCCCCCATCATACCACATACCATACAATAAATATATTGTCTAACATATTCGGGTACTAGCTACCCATTCAGTCTCTTTCAACGGGTGACTTGCCTAGCATATCAGGGTGCTGGCATACCCCTTCGGTCCTTTTGACCGGTAACTTGCCTAGCATATCAGGGTGTTGAAAAAAGTATCGGGGACTATTTCACCCCTACTTCTACCATATAACATACTACTAAATAAAAAAAAGTCATATATTGTCTGGCTTATCAGAGTGCTGGCATACCCCTTCGGTCCTTTTGACTGGTATTGGGGCCTGTCCTACCCCCTCCTACCACTATCACATAATATCATAGCATACTAGCTAATAAAGCATAACAAATAGTGGCATACCAGATAAATATCACAAAGACAATCATCTCTACTATAACTCTTACTAGTGGGTCGGTATTGGTGCCTTTGACCCACTTCTACTGGAAGGTAACTTACCTCAAATGCTATGAAGTAGTTGAACTGTCCGAGGCTTTGAAATCTGATCCTCTAAAACTCCTACACATAAAATCTCCTTTAGTTACCCTTTCATACTCATAACCCCTTTAAGGGTTAACTCTGGTCAATGGCGAAAGTCAAAGTCAACATCCTGGTTGACTCAACTCGCCAAGTTGGTCCACCAACTCGTCGAGTTCCATGATCAATAAAACCATGGAAATCTCGATCCAACTCATCGAGTTCTTTAATGAACTCGTTGAGTTCCTCCTCATACATAGTCGGGACATTTCGCTCACAACTCGTCGAGTTCCTCCTTGAACTCATCAAGTTCCTCAATCTTTAAATCCCATAAACCATGTCTAACTCACTGAGTCATCTCCTAGACTCAACGAGTTTCCCCAGAGCAAAAAAGGTTGGGGGACCACGACCCAACTCTCCGAGTTGGATAAACAACTCGTCGAGTCCCCCTTTGTCTAAATCCATTCAGTCACTTCCAGTCGAGTTCAATGCCTCTAAACGATAGATCTGGTCCCTTAGGACTAAGTTTCCATGTAAAGTTTCTAAGTTTACATCCAATCGCCCATGCATGGTGTCATGAAGCTAGAAACACCAAAACTAATCTATATAAGAGATCTAGGGCATGGGGATGAGCCAAGGCTTGATAAAGCTGGAAACTTTAAGCCTTATAAGCTTATGGGTGCCTAGATCTAAAGTCACAACTTCATGATACACTCAAATCCTGAAAATGACTTCAATATGGCCCAAAAGTAACAAAATACAACCCTAAATGAAGATCTAAGCAATGGAAAGACAAGGTAACAACTTTATACCTCAAATGAGTCAAAAATGTAGCTCAACTTCCAGATTTACTAGCTCCCTGATAGGTGCATTTCATGCACCTATTTTTCATGTTTATTTCCGTCTTTTTATAGCATTCTACTTCATAATTCTTGCATTTAGTTGATTATTAGGGTAATTGCATATTTCATTAAGAATGTATGGTACTTCACTATTTTTGATTTATTTTGCAGGCATTATGGAGCATGGAACGTGGAGCTTGGATGCATGGATGCTTGGATGCTTGGAGCATATGTTGGATTAATGTCTAAGTCCATAACTATAATTGGTAAGACTTGACCCGACCCGGCATGGTCCATTTGGGTTGCATGGCATCATGCACTTGGATAGAATATAATGAGAGAAATAAGACACTTATGGTTATTAATATATTATAAGTTCTAGTATATTAATAATAAGAATAATAAGATTATTTAATTAGTATTGATCAAGAATTAATCTAGGATTAATTAAGTGATCAAAAGAAGACTAATTAAATATATGGGTTGATTGTGTAAATCATTCATTCTTATATATGTGGGCTTGTGATCCAAGATTCCTTATGTTGGACTAAGTCCATGGGGTGACCCATGGATACTCCATGGAGGTTAAAATCCATGGAGCATAAGGAATGGGTAAAGTCATGAGTTACATGGTGTAACCCTAATAGCCACCATATAAAAGAAACCCATGGCTCAAGAAATCGTGACTAATGTGTGTGTATGAGGGCTAGACGATTTCATGAAGTGTTCTAATTTCTCTCTAAGTTATTCCAAGTGCTTATGGTGTTGTGTGAACCATTTGAGGTGTCACACTTGGGGCA